GTACTCCATGTAGAAGAACCTGTTTAGAAGCCTGAGATTTGACATAACAATCATAAGGATGGAATTCAAAGAAAACATTGTTGTCTTTAGCAAATTTACTAACACTCATGAGATTTTTGGTTATAGAAGGGACATGAAGCATATTAGTTAACATAAGAGACTGAGACTTAGAATAGGGAGATAGAAAGGAAGAAAAACCAATAGATTTGATATCCACACCTTGACCATTACCCATAAAGAGTTTGTCAGTTGAAACAAGAGGCTCACTGTGCTGAAAATTGAGTGGATCAGCAGTCACATGATGAGTAGCACCTGAATCAGGGAACCATTGTTGAGAAGATGGAGGTGGTCCAAGAACAGAGTTTGTACTAGCAAATGCTGCAGATGGTAGAGGTCTGGCTGAGTGCTGATCCCAATTGAAAGTCTCTTGAGCTGTAGATTGATGGTTAGGAAGATTAGCAGGAGCTGAAGAGCTGAAGTGTTGAGGTATATTCTGTCTTGGAGTATAGTAGGGTGAATGATTGAAGTGAGATGGAGTGTATGAATTAGATGATTGTGAGTTCCATTGACTTGAAGGTCCATTGGTTAGAATTGGTGTAATTTGGATTAGGGTTTGGATAGGTAAAATTAGGATTGCAGCGATGATAACAAATTAGGGCATGATGTCCAGACTTTCCACACACCTGACATATTACTGAGCTTCGATTTCCAAAACGACCACCTCTACCTTTGTTTGGGCCTCCACGACCTCTTCCTTTATATGGATTTGACTGATTAGGGTTATGAAATTGTGCCATATTAGCAGAAGAAGTTTCGGTTGCTGTGACAGTTTCTGAACTGGAAGTTTGAGAAGTGTTTTCAGCATGAGCGACATTAGCAGAAAAAATATTAGGAGTAGTTGCTTCACGATGCTTTTTCAGACGCATTTCTTTGAGTAAAAGCAGAGGTTCAAGTTCTGAAACAGTTATCGGATCAAGGAGGCTACGAGAGGATACGGATGATACAATAGATTCATATTCTTCTGGAAGTCCCTCAAGAATAACATTCACATGTTCTTTAGTAGAAATTGGCTCACCAATCAAACTCAGATTATCAACAGTTGTTTGAATTCGAAGAAGATATTCTTCAATCGAGCGATCTCCTTTACCAGTATTGTAGAGCTCGGATTTGAGCTGGCGTGCCTTCGCAGTGAGATTTGATTGGAAAAATTTCCGAATCGTACTCCAAAGCTCGTGCGATCGTTGACAATGGATTACGCGAGCATGAAGTGATTCCGATAGAGAGGAAATAAGCCATGAGAAAAGCATCTGATCCTGTTGTTCCCATACAGCATATTCATCGTTGATTGACCTGGTTCCGTCATCGCCATGGATGAACTGAGCTGGAATCTTCGGATTTTCCACAAATTGCAACAATTTGTGTGCTCGAATGACGGATTCGATATGATGCTTCCAAAGAAGAAAGTTGTTTGAACCAAGTTTGATTGGGAGAGGATGCGTGAATACAGCTGGAAAAGTTGAATTCCCAGCTGCGGAAGAAGAAGATGTCGTAGAAGTTGAATTCGTCATGGTAGATCGAGCTCAAAGCTCTGATACCATATTAGAAAAGTAGCCAGAATATGAAATGAAGAAGAAGGATTTTCATTAATCACATAATACCAGTACATCAGTATTTATAGAGAGGTAGTATAACCAACTTGTAACTGAATATAAACAGCTTGACTAACTATAACTAGCTAACTGAATGCTAAGCTTATTACACAGTTCGTAGATATAGTATCTCTAACACTCCATCCCATTAAACTTCCCAACTTTCCTTATTTAGTCCCAAAAACTTTACCAGTTCCTTTTCAAGTAATAAATCTGTGATTCATATTAGTTCTCTCTCCTTGGCAGAAATATAACCACACATACTTTCTTACATTTTCCTAGTGAAAGTCAATTTTGGCCAAGTTTTATGGGAAAAGGGAGTGCTAATGAAATGAAAGAAGTTGAAGTGCATATATGACAACTAAGTGAAAAGGCTGATTCTATGGGTTTTTTGCCAAACCATCGTTGTGTATATGTATGTCCAATTCTTTTGCATTCCAGTTTCACAATTCAAGCCTTTCTCATTTTGGCCTCTCAAAACTCAAAAGCTTTTAGGCTTAAACGTATCATGGGGGTTTTCCTATAATGTCACCAAAATAGACTTATTTGGGAAAAATATGTATATGATAGAGACCTGGACTTGTGGGTTTATGGTGTGAGATATAATAGAAATAATACTGAAGATTTTAATAAAATGTAATAGTGGGCTGGGCCAAGTAATTAGATAGATTTAGGGAAGCTTCATTGGAAAAGAATAAATAGAAGGAATGGAAGAGGGAGAGGTAGGTTGGAATTCAGTTGAAATTAGGTTGGGAGAGTGAGGCCTCTCGAAGAGTCTCGATCTGTTTCTTCTCTTTCTTTTATTTCCGCCATTGTAAAACTCAGATTACCGTCAATATACTAGCTGTTTTTACCGTGTACCTATCAGAATACATATTCACTACTATCAATGCAAAAATACTACTATAGTTATGTGTATTAAAAGTCATATTTTGTCCATTATTTTCATAGTTTTCATTTGTAAAATTGATAGAACTAACCAATTTTACAGAAAATTCACAAAGAAATATCAAGAAAAACAACTGCAATCTATATTGAAGAAGAACAGTAACTATGGCCGAAGCCCCCAAATGAGCCGAATCCCCCAAAAGAGAGAGAATAAACTCAATCTTCCCAAGTCCCAAGACAAAGTCTAAAACAGCCTACTAAACCTACTCCCCTTTCCGTCTATTTATACTACATATTCATTTATTATTATTATTATTATTATTATTATTTCTATTTATTAGTGTAATGGCCTGATTCCTATCAATACCCCCCCCCCCCCCCAAACATCCACCTTGCCCTCAAGGTGGGTGATAGGAAACAGCCAAGATTCTCTGCTTTTTCTTCATCCTTGCTCCTCTTCCCTCCCAATACTTGACTGGTTGATGGACTAGGGACTTCAGAAGGGAGATCTTTTAAGACCACAGAACTTTCAGCAGCAGAAGATATCTTTACTGAAGTTTCATTTGGTTCAGTCTCTTTCCAGCACTCCATAGCAAAAAATATTTCTTCACTTTTCTGCAGCTTCTCATAGTTTCTATCCTCTGTAACTAATACTGTATTGGATGCAAACTCCTTGCTGTACCCCTCAACTTGTTCCTCTTTTAATTCTTTACTTACCTCATTTGAGAAGGAAGGTCTTAAAGGCTTTAACAAGCAATTAAGGAAATACAATATTCCAGCTGTAGCTCTCCTAACTAATGAACAAGAAGGGCTATCTCCCATGTAAAACTTCCAAAGTTGGTCTTTTTGCAGGTAAGCAATTCCCTCGTCAGAAAAAAATATTGCCATTTTCAAACCTTGTTTCACTTTCACCTTTTCCTTGGCTTCAATATATTGTTCCTCAAAGTTTCCCACTGTCTTCTCATTTAAGGAATCTGTAATTCTGAGCTCTCCTGTCAAAAAGGCCAGCCCAGAAGTTGGTAGGTAAATCAATTGTACTTGAATCTTTTCCATCCCAATGTATGCGAACAAGAGAGACGGATGAACTACACTTCTCTTTGCATCCAACAGTCCCATTGATATTCTCTTGCACCAGATTAATGGCAGTCCCTAGAATGTACTTTCTAATTGCAATATCAGTATGAATATGGAAAAATAAAAGATCTGGAAAATTCTCAGGGCTGGCTGCAATTGCATATAAACTGTTCTCATCAAGCGGAACCTCAAGGCTACACCTTCCATTGTCATCTATCTTCTTTTCTTGTTGTGTCATGTTTTCTTCTATATCTTCTTGTTGATATCCCATAGTGTGCATAATACCAAAACTGGCATCCGGCTCTGGATCTAAAATCTGTGTCGTGTTCTTTGTCAATGATGGAGTGTCCTGCCATCCCTCTCTTGACATAAATGACGCTTGTGAACGACTTAGGAGTCCAGCAATTGTGTCAGCTTCAGGTCCTCCTGTTACAGTATATCGCTCCTTCTTTTCCTCTTCCGGCAGTTTCTTGATTCAGAGGACTTCAACTGGTTATTCTTTGTCGACTGGTGATAATCTTGCACATATTGAGAAACGGTCCGCGAACATGAATATTCCTCTCTAGATTGCGTTTTATTCTGATGCGAATAAATCACGGATAAAGGTACCTGCAGATTGAGGCCGGTTATTGCCGTTGGTTGCGAAATGAAAGGAACAGTTCGCGATTGTGAAATAGGAACGACAGTTCGCAATTCTGTTTGTGAACTTGTGAGCGATTGGGATGAACTTTGTTTGTCAGTTAATGAGGAGTGATGAGAAGAGTTATGCGAAGAGCGATGCGATGTAGATGAGGTGTGCGACCTACTTCGCGATCGGTTTTGGCCTTTCTCCGCCAAAGTCACAATCGCTGCACGTATCTCAGCTATATCCGTTGCCATAGCTGTGTTAGCTGCGGCGAACTCCCGTTGATTTCTCTCCAGATCATTCAATCTTCCTTCCATCTTAGCACGCGTAAATCTCATCCAGCGATCTACGTGCTCTGATACCACTGATAGAACTAACCAATTTTACAGAAAATTCACAAAGAAATATCAAGAAAAACAACTGCAATCTTTATTGAAGAAGAACAGTAACTATGGCCGAAGCCCCCAAAAGAGAGAGTAAATTCAATCTTCCTAAGTCCCAAGACAAAGTCTAAGACAGCCTACTAAACCTACTCCCCTTTCCGTCTATTTATACTACATATTCATTTATTATTATTATTATTATTATTATTATTATTATTTCTATTTATTAATCTAATGGCCTGATTCCTATCAAAAATATTCATTTTTTCAATACCGTTTGCCCAATGTGTTTCAATACCTTGACACTTCGAGCTGAACATAATTATCTCCTCCAATTATCCAATATGATTGATGTTGTTTTTTCTTTCTGCATGAACTCAGTATGGGCTTGATACTACGGAGTTCACATACAACCCGTCTGATCCAAACCGCTACCAGCAAACTACCGCACAACCAGTAGCTGAAAAAGGTCGCTGTACCATAATGTAAAAAAATAAAAGTTGTGTTTGCTACATTCCTACATTTATCGTGATGGATTTTGATTGGCTGGGGCAAGTGCTTATATATTTGGAGATGGCTTTGATCTTGCGATGATAGTTTGCACAAATCAGAAATTTCAGGCTCCATGATGTGACTGCTGTTTTCCTTTGAAACCTGTATGGAGAATTCAAGATTTTTCTTCTCCTTTATCAAAATACATGTATTCTGAGGTGCTTGTTTGGCAGTGTTCGAATATGTTTGATGTTCTCTCTTGTTCTGTTTTTTTGTTTCCCATATTTTCACATTTTTTAAGTCTGGAACAAGGAAATGTGATTGGTTATGATATTTTTTGCTTTATATTATGAAGAAATAGAACTTCAGGAATAATTAGAAACATGGAGGATGACTGTAGGATCTATCAAACCAAACTTTTTACGACTGAATTGAATCGAATCAAACTATTAATTTGTGTTTGGAGTAAATGCACAAGTGCTCCTTAAACTATTACAATTATATCATTTTGGTTCCTAAACTAAAGAATCTATCATTCAGTATTTCAGTCCTTCCATCCTTTTTAATTGTCAAATTGATTTAATATTCAAGATTTCAAGATATGCTATCCAAAAGTATGGATGGACTCGGGTCCGGGTCGGGCCTAGGCCCGGGTGGGCCGGCGGGTCAGAAATGGTTGACCCGGGACCGGCCCGGGTAACCACCGGGTCCGGTCCAGGTCCGGGCCGGGCCGGGCCCATTATATTTTTTTGTTTTGTTTTCCTCTTCCTAATTAACCCCCCTCCCACCCAAACCACCCCAAATGGTCCAAAATACCCAGCCCAACCCGAAAATTTAAAAAAAATTAAAAAAAAAAAATACTTTTTGGCCCGAACCGGGTCCGGGTCCGGCCGGGTCGGGCCTTGTTTTGGGTGACCCGAGCCCGGACCGGAAAACCCACGGGCCGGGCCTACCCGGACCGGTCACTGACCGGGAAACCGGGTCGGGTCGGGCCGGGCTGGAACAGTACCGGTCCTGGGCCGGTTCCGGGTCGGGCCACCAGGCCCGAGTCTATCCATATCCAAATTCCAAAAGTCACGTTTGTATAGCAAATTAGCAATATTTGAGAAGTTGAGTACTATAAAGAATCCACGTTAAAAACAGGTTAAATGTGAATATATGATGTAAACAACTTGGTTTGCTAGACATTTCATTATAATTTATAAACCACTCGTTTAATAGTAATAATAACATTCCTTGTTTCCTTATTTAATTTTTCATTTTGTCTACATATACTTGTAAATTTGAATTGTTTGATTCTGTCTTAAGAGAGTAAAGAGTAAAGACGTGTTACACGTAGGGATGGACTCGGGCCGGGTTAACCGGCCCGAACTGATACTGTTATGGCCCGGCCCGGTACCCGATTTTGTGTCCGGTTCGGGCCATCCGGCCCGGCATTGTAGAGGGGTGATTCCAGAGCCTCCCAAATGATGAACTGGCCCAGCCGGTCCGGGCCCCATCCGGCCGCCATGCCTAACGGTCATTTTTTTTTAAAAAAATTGTTTTTAAAGTAATTGGAGGGCTCCTAGCTGATGGGAACACCTCCAAACAACTCTAGCCGTTGGAGGGCAGGGAGAGGGTCCAGGGGGTTAGGGAGTGAGGGGGTGGGGTATAAAAAAACTATAAGTACTCCTATTTTTTAAACAATTTTCTACACATCTTCTCCAACTATTTCTACTCTTTATTCTCTAATGTTCTTAATCATCTCCATCTTCTTCAATTCTCTCTACATATATTTATACAATTATTATATCTACTTATATATTATTTATCTACTTATAAATACATATATTATATTACTAAAATTTAATTATCTACTTAATATATACTCCGTACTTATTATCTACTTTATATATACTTCATATTTATTTAATATCTACTTATCATATTATTGTTATTTACTTACATTTACTGATTTACATATTACATCTACTTAATATATACTTATATATATTAAAGTATTAAATATTTAAATATAAGTGTATTACTCATCTTATAGTAATATACTTATATATTATATACTACAAACATTATATTATATATTAGTTAAACAATTATTATATCTACTTACATACTTATTATCTGCTTATAAATACATATATTAAGTGTGTGTATGTCTATATATATATATATATATATATATATATATATATATATATATATATATATATATATATATATATATATATATATATATATATATATATATATATATATATAGAGAGAGAGAGAGAGAGAGAGAGAGAGAGAGAGAGAGAGAGAGAGAGAGAGAGAGAGAGAGAGAGAGAGGATCAGGTGAGAAGTGCCCTTAGGCTGAGAATTGCGAAACTAACTTATAGACCGAAAACATGAACTTTTAAGCAATAAATCATAACTTATAGACTCCTTGAAATAATTACAAACATGCCACCGCAAAAAATAAGTCTGGAGACCTTGGAAATTTTTGGACGCGGTGGCATTTTCGTAATTACAATGAAGAGCTTTATAAGTTATGATTTATTGATTATAAGTTCGTGTATTCGGTCTATAAGTTTGGTGCGTTGTAAGATTAGATGCAAATCCAAAGACTAAGATGACTTCTCACTTCTCATTTTAAGGGGAACTTCTCACCTGATCTTTTCTATATACATACATACATATGTATGTATGTATGTATGTATGTATGTATGTATGTATGTATGTATGTATGTATGTATGTATGTATGTATGTATGTATACACACATATATATACGTATATATATATATATACACATATATATAGGGGAGGGTTCAAATACAAAGAAGTCTTCCTATGCAAAGTGAGAATTAATTTCGTGCGTTCATTTTGAGATCTAATGGCTCAAAATGAGCCAAAAGTGAACTAAATTTGATCAACAACGCGGTGGCAATTTTGTAATTATAACGAAGTTTTTTGCCATCGCGAAAAAGTGCAACAGAAACATGCAAAAGTGCAACGCGGAGAAGAAAAAGTGCAATTGTTCGCACTTTGCACGTGAGAACCTCTTTTTATTTGATCTCTTCCACACACACACACACACAAATATATATATATATATATATATATATATATATATATATATATATATATATATATATATATATATATGGATTGGTTCATGTGAGAAAGGTGCCTTAAGAGAGAAATGAGAATAAATTATAGCCTATAAACATGATCGGATGGATACAATAGAATCTCATTACACTTTTTCTGCCATAACTATTGCCGGACATGTGCTTTAAAAGGTAATACTGCAACCTAATGGTTAATGAAGGATATTGTGGTAAATTTCATTCGGACAGTTGACTCGCATGAAGCAGAGGAGTGAGTGCATCATCGAGAAAGTCTCGCTTAACAAAAATAAAGTACTCCGTATTAGAAAGAAAGCTTCAAGGTTCATTCCATGCACACAAAAAAACCTTTTAAATTACATGGACGAGTATCATAAAAGAAAAAAATTCCAACAAAGAGTAATTCCAACAAAAATACAAAATGGGGAACTAGAAAAGCACCAATAAGGAAACGATAAATGCATTTCAGAGATAAATACAGTGCAATATTGTGAATAAATAATACTCGTATTATGATTGCATGTTTCACATGGAATTACAAATAGATGTACACTGTATATCTAGAGAAAATTACGAATGGTGCACTATGTATATGAAGTCATTTTCTAACGTTGTAAAAAGCACTAGGTCAATCCGTTAATGCATTTCAAAGACAAATACAATGCACTTTTGTCAACAAATATTATTGTGATTGCATGTTGCACATGAAATTACAAATAAATGCACACAGGTACGTATATCGAGAGCAAATTCTAAATGATGCACTATGCATATAAAATCTTCTTCAATTAAAAAGCAGTAGATCGATTAATGCATGTGAAAGACAAATACAATGCACTTTTATAAATTCATAACATTGAATTTCCATTGCATGTTGCACACTTGCACACGATATTACAAATAGATGCACAAAAGTATATCTAAAGTAAATTTGGAATGAAGATATAGAATACACAAATGATCACGAATGTTGCCCACATAGTTAAAAAATAGTGCACAAGAAAGCATCAATGTAATGCACTCAAAGGTAAGCAAATACTAAAATGTGCATGCTCGAGTAGCAGTTTATTTACTTGAACATGCCTAATGCTTCAAAAAAGAAGTGAATCATTTAAGCGTAGTGCAATCTTGTATACTACGTACTATGTGATACTTTTTTCAGGATTTTATATTTCCATATTTTGGTATTGCACTTTTCAAAACATTTTAGTGCATAATTTCCAATTATGGTATGCATGTCCGCCATGGCCAAACACATATAGTTTCTTGTGTGTATTGTTTATACATAGTATTGTTTTTCGTTACTGTAGCCTCAGCCAAATCATTTTTTCGGTTGAGAGCAACGAAAATAAATAAAGTGATTAAGAAATTTATAAAGCAAAGGAAAAATGGTAGAGGTCAAATAAGTAACCGTCAATCAATATAATAATAAAGAAAAATGATATTTAAGGATGCCAGGTTTGCCAACTAAGGAAAGAATCGTTTTATATTGACCAGATATATAAATCTCTTATTTACCCTTTAGCGAGAAAAAATGGAAATATAAAAATTTACAAATCTAAGGGTTGTAGTTCATTCTCATCTCTCCTAAGATGTCTTTCTCACTTGATCCTAAATATATATATATATATATATATATATATATATATATAGGGGTGAGATCACATACAAACCATGCTTAACTTACTAACCTACAAACTCAATAATGTGCAACACTTTGAACTTTAATATGCAGTACAAATAATGTAAAGATGCACTCTTTGAATTTCAATATGCAATACAAATAATGTAAACATGAAATTGCTATTTTATGGCTTGAATAATATGAAACACTTTGAACTTCAATGTGCAATACAAATAATGCAAAGATGATTTGAATGGGAGGACTAGTTTGTATGTGATCCCACCCCTGCATCTTTACATTATTTTTACTGCATATTGAAGTTCAAAGTGATGCATATTATGGAGTTTGTAGGTTAGTATTTTAAGCATGATTTGTATTTGATCTCTTATATATATATATATATATATATATATATATATATATATATATAGGGAGAACTATCAAATAAGCCCTCGAACTTTCATAAAAAGTGCAAATAAGCCCTTTTATAGGAGACTTTGTCCGGCTGTCGCCATTTGGGGCGGTTTCCGGTGGAATTGTTTTATTAAATTTTTTGAGTATCTTCATCATGAAGTCTAATTTACCCATAAAAAATTTCAGCTTAAAATTCAATCGAGAAGGCAGTCAAATGGTTTTCTGAAATATATTGCGCT